GCGTGCTCTGCTGCTGGCGGCCTGGGTTCGGATCCCGGGCGCGCACCGACGTACCACTTGTCAAGCCATGCTGTGGCGGCATCCCCCATAAAGTGGAGGAAGATGGGCACGGATGTTAGCTCAGGGCCAGTCTTCCTCAGCAAAAAAAAAAAGATGTCTACAGGAGCCAAGTAGGTAATATAAACAGTGAATGTAAAGTGACAAAATGATGCAAACTGGATGTAACATGATCACTGGTGACCCACCCTCTCCCTCGGGGATGGGGAAGTTACAGGCACTGTGAGAGTGAAAGCCTGGGGTTGCTGGTCTAAAATCTTTCAAATCAAATGGAAGTCCTGACATTTATGGGAGGTCTATTGATGCTTAGAAGTTGACAACTAATTTAAATTTTTAAAAATGATTTGCAAGCAAGATGCAAATATTGCCAATGTGCAACCTCCAGCATGAAGTCAGATGCCCCGTCGGCAGACATCCAGCAGTGGCTCCTGCTTGGCATCAGTCCTGCCCAAGGTTATTCTGTCCCCTTCTGCTCAGTGCTAGGGGCCATTCAAGATGGGGCAGCTACTGGCCAGACAGGCGGTGGAGCAGGAGTCAGCCCAGAGTCCGTCCACAGTGTCTTGGCAGTTGTTGGGAGGGGAAAACAGGCTCAATTCGTTCTCCCGCTTCTCACTCCTTGAGGGACGCAGTGCACAGCGGGCTCTCTCCTGACCCCCGCCCATCGGTGTTCCTGTTGCTAATGGATACACCAAGGCGGTGAAAGGATAAGCGAGTGGACTGGTCCACTGGATGTCTTTGGAAACATATCTTAAAATGGGAAAACAATAAACATATTAGTCAGCTGTTCTGTAAAGGGACGGACTGCCTAGGTTAGAGAAGCTGCTTTAAGTCTCCTTGTCTGGATCCAAAATGGTTGAAAGCGGGCTGCCAAGACCTCAGCCAGAGAAGGAGCTTGACCACCTTGCGGACCTTGCTATTTTTAAACACATATTGCCGGCTTACCCTCACCGAAGTCCCGTTCCTCACGGAAAACTCACATGGGGGGTGAACCTGATGTTTTTCTCAGCGGTTCAGCCTGTTTGCCTTGAACTCTTTTGTAGTTTCCTAGTCTGGGTCTGAGACGTTAACGTGCTCCCACCTGACAGAGCCTGCTCAGAAAGAAAAGTCATGCCCTTGTTTCATTATAATTTAAGGTAAAATAGTTCCCACATCTGGATCATTTGTTTAAAATATTGGTTCTCTGGCCTTACCTCTGGGCATTCTGACTCACTGTCTGAGACGTGGCCTGGGAATCTATTGTTTAAAATAAGAAAAAAAGGGGCCGGCCGCATGGCATAGTGGTTAAGTGCGTGCACTCCACTGCTGGCAGCCCGGGTTTGGATCCCGGGTGCGCACCAACGCACTGCCATGCTGTGGCGGCGTCCCATATAAAGTGGAGGAAGATGGGCACGGATGTTAGCCCAGGGCCAGTCTTCCTCAGCAAAAAGAGGAGGATTGGCAATGGATGTTAGCTCAGGGATGATCTTCCTCACAAAAAGTAAAAATAAAAAAATAAGAAAAAGAAAACTTTCTAGGTGGTTCAGGTACAGCTGACATGGACCAGCCATTGGGTGCTGTTAGACTACACCACCTCAGGCTTACATCTAAACAGCTAAAGTACGGCTCCCTCAACCAGCTTGAGAACTGTGTTTTAAACCTGTTTCCTTACTTCTGGGATATGGAATTTTTTCCATAGAAAATATTGGTTTATTTATATCTAATAACTGAAAGACATTTTTTTAATGATAATCTTATTAAAATGTGGAGAAAGTTGCAAATCACATATCTGATAAGGGATTTGTATCCAGAATATGCAAAGAACTCTTACAACTCAGTGATAGAAAGACAACCCAACAGCAACATCTAGACTCAAGTATTTGACCAAACAACCAGGTATCATAGCCTAGCCAGGCTGACACATAAAATTAACCATCACACTATGTAATATACAAAATCATAAAAATGTAGATATGTTAGATTCCGTAGTCCAATATCCTTATTTTTGCAAATGAGGAAACAGGTCAGAGAAGATAAGCCCCTAGTTATACACATACATTCACAGGAGAACATGCACACCCAAATTCCCAGAACTGTTCATAAGTTGCTCACTACCTTCTAATAAAATTAAGTGGAAAAAGTTTTTTAAAAAAGACAACCCAGGGGCCGGCCCAGTGGCATAGAGGTTAAGTTCATGCGTTCTGCTTCGGCAGCCCAGGGTTCGCTGGTTCCGATCCCAGGAACAGACTTACCAAGACATGCCGAGGCGGCATCCCACGTAGAAGAGCTACAACTCTACAACTATGATATGCAACTATGTACTGGGGCTTTGGGGAGAAAAAAGAAAAAGAGGAAGACTGGCAGCAGGTGTTAGCACAGGGCCAATCTTCCCCCCCCAAAAAAAAAAGAACCTTAAGATATTTTTACAAAATTAAAAAAGACAACCCAATTAATAACTGGAAAAAGGGTCTGAATAGACATTTTTCCAGAGAAGATATAGCAATGGCCAACAAGCACATGAAAAGATGTTAACATCATTAGTCATCAGAGAAATGCAAAACCACAAGGAGAATCACTTCACACCCACTGGGATGGCTATAATCTAAAAGACAGGCCAGCCCTGGTGGCCTAGTGGTTAAGTTTGACACACTCCACTTTGGCAGCCAGGTTTCAGTTCCCAGGTGTGGACCTACACCTCTCGTCTGGCAGTGGCCATGCTGTGGCAGCAGCTCACGTACAAAAAGAGGAAGATTGGCAACAAATGTTAGTTCAGGACGAAACTTCCTCAGCGAAAAAAAAACAATAACAAGGGTTATCAAGGATATGGATAAACTGGAACCCTCATACACTGTTAGCAGTAATGTAAAATGGTGTACTGCTTTGAAAAACAGTCTGGCAATTCTTCGACAGGTTAAACATGGAGTTATCATTCGACCCAGCAATTCTACTCCTATGTATATACCCAAGATAAATGAAAACATACTTCCACACAAAAATTTGTACATGATGTACAGGGCAGCATTATTCACAATAGCCAAAAGTGGAAACAACACAAATGTCCAACCAATGAATGAATAAACAAAATGTGGTATAGCCCTATGATGGAATATTATTCAGCAATAAAAAGAAATACTAATATATGCTCCAAAATGGATGAACATGGAAAACAGTATGCTAAGCAGAAGAAGGCAGACACAGAAGGTCACATATTATATGATCCTCTTTTTATGAAATGTCAAGAATGGGCAAATCCATAGAAGCACAAAGTAGATTAGTGGTTGCCAGGAGTTTGGGGGAGGGAGGAATGGAGAGAGACTGCTACTGGTTACAGAGTTTTTTTGGGAGAGTGATGACAATATTCTAAAATTAGTGGTGATGGTTGCAAAATTCTGTGAATATACTAAAAACCACTGTATTGGACACTTTAAAAGGATACATTTTATGAGCAAATTCATAAAGCTCAATAAAGCTATTATTTATGTTTTGAAAACCTGTGAACAGCTCCGATGTCTTTTAACAAGTGACTAGTTACACAAACTGTGGTACATATATACCATGGAATTCTATTCAGTAATAAAACATATACACGTTGATAATACACAGCTTGGATGTGTCTCTGGGGAATCATGCTGAGTAAAAAAAAAAGGCAATCCTAAAAACTTACAGACTGTGTGATTCTATTATATAACATTTTTGAAATGACAAACTTTTAGAAATGGAGAACAGATTAGTGGTTGCCAGGGGATATGGAAGAGGGGCCTTGCTGGAGGGAGATGAGTGTGGTTATAAAAAGGCAACAGGAGGGATCCTTGTGGTAATGGAAACGGTCAGCACCTTTAATATGGTGTGGATGTATAAAGCCTACACATATGATTAAATTGTGTAGAACGAAATACACACCAAAAAATGACTACAAGTGTAACTGAGGAAATCTGAATAAGATCAGTGGATTGTGTCAATGCCAATATCCTGGTTGTGATATTATACTATAGTTTTGCAAAATGTCACCATTGAGGGAAACTGCGTAAACAGTACACAGGATCTCTTCGTGTTATTTCTTGTAACTGCGTGTGAATCTACAGTGATCTCAATAAAAATTTCAGTTAAAAAAAAGATGACGGGTTTCTATGGCATTCCCTGTGTTTCCTCATCAGTGAGGACCTTTGACCTACGGAGAGGTAGGTGGAGAGCATGTTTTCATAACACAGATGAGGACATTGGAATGCCGAAGATTCTGTGACAACTTGCAAATGGCAGACAGCCAGGAACAGAAGCCAGGGCTCTGGATATCCATTCCTTCATTCAACAAATATGTGTGTGAATGAGTACAATGCCTCAGAAACTGTTCTAGAATCTAGGCCCTGGGGTTACAGCCATGAACAATGAGATCAGTCTTCTCTATTGTAGGAAAGACCACAGCTCAAGGAGGTGAGAATGGTCCCTCACCATCCTCAGTAAAAAAACTCATGTCACTGGCTGTGGGCCTGTGGGCATGAAGGCAAGGAGGGAGAAGGGGGAGGATAATGATGCCAAATAGCTTTTTTGGGGGGCCACTGCAGCAGGACTGGCAATGATGCCCAACCTCCTAATGCTCTTCCTAGGAGGAAGGAGGAGTGTTTGGCTTGGCCAAGAGGCCAGGACTAAAAGTAACAGAATAATCACGGGCGGGCTGGGCGCAGGCTGGCTCAGGGCAATGCTATGGGGTAAGGATTTAGGAAGCTGGTTCCAAGATCGACACCTGCAGAAAACTACAACTCCCAGCGCGTCCCGCGTCCCGCCCAGCCCTGGTGGTCATGTGATCGCTGCTCACGTGTCCCGGCAGCCGGCTCGGGAATGAAGCACCGTAGGTAGGTGGCAGGAGGTAGAGGCGCTGGAGGGTGCAAGCGTTAGGTCCCCAGGTCCCCGGAGCCCCCACCGCGGCAGAGCCCTGCCCACTCCCTGCAGGGCTCCGGAGCCCGGCATCCCCGCTCCACGCCCGCCTCTCTTGAGCCGGCTCTGCCGCGCCTTAGCCTGGACTGACTTCCCCTGGTCCTAGGCCGGGATCGAGTCCCGGAGCCCCTCCCCAGTTTACCCCACAGCAGCTCACTCGCCTGGCTTCAGGCCTGGGGATCGGCGCCCCCGCCCCGGATGCGCCCTGACCCACCTCCCGATGCAGCCCACCCCTCGTATTTCTGGGATCCAGCCCCAGGCTGGACTGGGAACCCACTCCTACCTGAGGGGCCTATGCGAATGGTTGCAGCTCTGGCCTGAGCAGAGGGTTATCAGGCTTCTAGTCCTGGCTCTGCCAGCTACCCGCTGTGACATTCGTCTAACCTCTTTCTCTTCCTCAGCTTGTTTCCCTCTCTGATCTGGTGCACCATTCCGTGATCTGAGTCAGAGCTGCTCAGTTCCCTTCACTCTGCTGACCAGCACAGAAACAGCCTGAACTCTTCTCTCTGCTGACAGCAGGTTTTAGGTAAAGTCTTGAGAAAGAAGAAATTGGGGCCAGAGAGGAAAGCGAGGAGAATCGGATCTCAGATCTTTGGGGAGAAGGAGCTGTGAAGAGCAGCCCCAACTCCACTATAGCGGATCAGGTGGAAAGAGCAGGTAAGCTGGGCCAATGGAGCTGAGGAATTTGCCGGGAGGGGGTGCTGAGAGATCCTGGACCCAGGCAGAGCCCTCTGAGTCTGAGCTGTGATCAGGGTGGAGGAGGACGCCTCACAGCTCTGGCAGGGCTAACTTTGCAGGGCTCTCTGGAGCTGTGCTGGAAGCCCGGGAGCCGAAGACTCTGCCTCCGCTACTCACTGCTTCGGTTTTTTCGCTGAGTCGCTGGCTGGGTGGCAGGTTGCGTAAGAGGAAGCCCTGCAGCGTCTGACTGATCTTTCTGGATTTGGAGCCAGCAGAGAGGTATTTCCTCTGGAGCTGTGTCCCTTGCTTGCACGCTTGGTGACAGATGTTTGAGAGCACCCAGCCTCTCCCTTTTCCCTCTCATGAGTGTACGGTTCCCAACTTTGTTCAGCCATCACCAGGAGGAGCAATGAGAAGCATCTGACTACCCGGGGGGCTTCATGAGCCATTCTACACCCTGCAGTGTGCTGAGGGCATCAGAGGGCATGCCGCTGTGCGGGACTCTGGTTAGGTCAGTCGTTATGGCTGAGTCTGGCCAGTCCCCTCCTCTTCCCCTGAGCTATAAAGAGTCAACCAGGAAGGGATGAGTAAAGAGTCAAATGCGGAGTTTTGTGTGAATTCCCTGAGCTCAGGACTTAGGAAGGAGGAGGCTCTGGGGGAAGGAAGCTTGGGCAGATTTCGCCTGCATGGGTGGAAACAGCCATCAGCAGCCGCTCTGGAAGGCTGAGCCTGGCTCCTCACTGCCCACTCAGCCACTGCCCTTTTAACGTGGCCTTCATGTTGCTCTTCTTCCCGTTAGCTATCCCAGTGCCTTCACACCTGGCCAATCGCACCAGGCCCTGGTTTTGGTCAGCATTCTGCTCTCTGCCTGCCTAGGGCTGAGGATTCTTAGGCAGAGTGGATGGCAGCGTGGGAAAGGGCGTTTGCAAAAATAACAGTAGCAATGACCATTTATCGAGTGCTAAAGCTTTACCGATATTAACACGCTCTTCGCAGTAACTTATGATATAAAGTCTTAGGTGAAATGACTTGCCCAAGGTCACACAGCTAGGAAGTAGAGGAGTCAGCATTCTGACTTCAGAATCTAATCAGAGCCCCAGGTCACAGCCCTGCTCTGCTCAGGGCTGCTCTTGGTCTGGAGGTGAACTTGACTCTTTAGGGCCGTCATTTCTCTTGAAGGTCTCAGGCTGTGAGCTGAACCTTAAGAACACTGACGGTCATTTTTCAGGGCTGGCCTCCTCAGAGCATCTCAAGATTCTAGGAAAAGGAAGCTTCTTCCCAGTTTTTATGGAAGAGGTCCAAAGCCAAAGAAGAAGGTGTAACTCACCTGTGTTTACCCAGAGAGGGAAGAAATTTATTCAGGGGACAAGCTTTTTATCTGAGTTCAGCACTGCCCACGGTACCATCTTGGGCCCAGGAGTAGGGCAAATGCAAACAGGTGGATGCTGGAGCGTCAGACAGTCCTGAGTAGAATCCAGCTCCAGCACTGACCACATATGACCTAGGGTAGAGCGCTTAGTCCCTCTGGGATTCATTTTCTTCATTGGTAAAGGGATGATAGTCATGTCTACCTTTTAGGGCTACATTGAGGATTTGAGATAAAGCATTCTGTAGCTGCAGCAATGGCGATTGATAGTAACAATAAACGCCACACGTGTGGCCTCAGAGCCTTGCAGGGCTAGCCTAGATCAAGCCTTGTGCCTGTGAAATGCTAGCACATGAGCAAACGCTGATGGAAACCAGCCTGACAGTGCTGGGCGCCAGGGTGGGTGCAGAAGAGCTCAGCGACTGTCCGAGGAGATGGGGAAGAACTGGGGCCTGATAGGGAGGCTGGCAGAGGGGCTGGGAGCATTCCAAGCACAGGATTGATGGTGGCTTTCCCGAGGACCCAAACGTGACAAGCATGGGGCGGGGGGCCGTTTGTCACATGGGTGAAGAGTGAGAATTGGCCTGAATTTTGAAGGGCTTTGAAAGATATGCAGAATTTAGACTCTTGGCCAGAGGCAGGTATGCTGGGCTGTAATACATTGAAATACCCATGGTTCTGGGTGAGGGCTGTTCTTGGGACCCTGTGCTGTGGAAACAGCCTAGGAAGCCAGACAGATCTGGATCCAAATCCTGCTCTGCAACTTGCTAATAATGTGACACTGGGTAGTGATTTGATCTTCTGAACCTTATGACTGCGAGGCTGTCACAAGGACTGGATGAGATAAGATACATCCATGACATTCCTGCCCAATGCGTGACCTCTGTCTCGTGCTGACATGTTAGTATCCCTCTCTTTTATATTTATGTCTGATTGACCCTACAGGCCTGTAAGCCTGAAGCCAACAGGATTTGCATCTGACATATTTCTGTCTCTGCCACCCTGCGCTATGGCACCCGATGCAGTGTCTGCACAGAGGCACCCTGGGTTTGAATCCCAGCCATGTGATCTTGGGAAAGTTGTTTCACCTTCTGTGTCCCCCCTTTCTGTGCCCACCTCAGGATAACAGCAGTGCCCGCCTTTCCCGTCTAGGTTGAGAAGAGCCAGAGCGCACAGCCTCCCAGGATAACAGCCCTGAACGGGCTGGTGCTGCCCCCAGCTACAAGCGTTCCCTCGGCTGCCCTGGGGATGTGGTGGTGAGGCACAGCCCGCAGACCCTGCAGGGAGCGGGCTCCCGGGGCCATGGCCCAGGTCAGCATCAACACTGAGCAGGGCGAGTGGGGCTTGAGCACGGACGCCGGGGAGCGGGCCCGTCTGCTGCAGAGTCCCTGTGTGGACACCGCCCCCAAGAGTGAGGGGGAGGCCTCTTCTGGGGATCTGGGCAGAGGCACCACTTCCACGCTTGGGGCCGTCTTCATTGTCGTCAATGCCTGCCTGGGTGCAGGGCTGCTCAACTTCCCAGCCGCCTTCAGCACAGCCGGGGGCGTGGCAGCTGGCGTCGCCCTGCAGATGGTGAGTGTCCTGGCTGGGAGGGCAGAGGTGCCGTTCGGGTGGTGGGTCTGGGCTCTTTGCCTCAAAAGGGAGCTGTGGGGCCGGCCCCGTGGCTTAGCGGTTAAGTGCGCACACTCCACTACTGGCGGCCCGGGTTTGGATCGGGAGCACACCGACGCACCGCTCATCCAGCCATGCTGAGGCCGTGTCCCACATGCAGCAACTAGAAGGATGTACAACTATGACATACAACTATCTACTGGGGCTTTGGGGAAAAAAAAAGAGGAGGATTGGCAATAGATGTTAGCTCAGAGCTGGTCTTCCTCAGCAAAAAGAGGAGGATAAGCATGGATGTTAGCTCAGGGCTGATCTTCCTCACAAAAAACAAAAAAAAAAAAGGGAGCTGTGGATCAGGGATGGTCAGTAGGTGACACGTGCTACCACTCTCCCCTCCCTCACACGTGGCAGACATTACTAATCTATTACAGCATTCTTCCCTCTGAGCCCAGATGAGGCTTCAAAAGCCTTTCCGACAATCAGGGAAGTTTGGACATCAGCTGCATATTTAATAATTTTGTGGTTATGTTTAAAAAGTGGCCCTTATCTTTTAGAACTGCATGCCAAAATATATACTGATGACGTGATACGAGAGCTTATATTTTCTTAAAATAATCCAGAGTGGGAGACGGAATAGATGAAACAAGATTGGCCATGAATAGATCATTCTTGAAGCTGAGTGTTTGGTACACGGAGCTCCATTATACTATTCTGTCTACTTTTGTATATGTTTGAAATTTTCCACCACACTTCTTTTGTTTTCAAAGAAAGCCTCTACTTGGCAGCCTCCAGTAATCTATTAAAATTGCGCTGCAAGATGAGACTCATTTGCCAGACTGGCTTTGGGCATTGGCCCAGGAAATGCTGAGCGAGACCGGGCTGTGCTTTGCTGCCAAGCCTTTCCCACACCCTCTTGCTCTGCCCCTGCCCGCAGGCCATGCTGGTTTTCATCATCAGCGGCCTCGTCATCCTGGCCTACTGCTCCCAGGCCAGCAATGAGAGGACCTACCAGGAGGTGGTGTGGGCTGTGTGTGGCAAGCTGACAGGCGTGCTGTGCGAGGTGGCCATCGCCACCTACACCTTCGGCACCTGCATCGCCTTCCTCATCATCATCGGGGACCAGCAGGACAAGAGTGAGGTTCCCCCTCAGTACCTACCTCATCCCTCCCTCTCGGCCTTGGGGGTTCTGGAGGGAGGGAAAGGGCACGGAACACCTGCCCAGGGCCTGGCTTGGGCCCCGCATCCATCTGGGGATCCTCCCTCCTGGGCCCATTAGACAGATGGAGGTCCTGAGACCCAGCGGAGCAGGACGGCCACACCCTGCAGTAGCCTGGCGTGACGTTCCCTCCTTCCTCCCTGTGCAGTTATAGCCGTGATGGCAAAGGAGCCTGAGGGGGCCGGCGGGAGCCCCTGGTACACAGACCGCAAGTTCACCATCAGCCTCACTGCCTTCCTCTTCATCCTGCCCCTTTCCATCCCCAGGGAGATTGGCTTCCAGAAATATGCCAGGTTTGGAGTCCCCACCCTAGCCTGGGCTAGACAGAAGCTCTGATCACAGGCAGCTAGAGACCTGAGGGCGCTGGGGAACCCCTCTCCTCCATGCCACCCCACCTCTGGGGCGGCAAGAGTGGGCAAGGCGGGGCGGACCACGGCTTGCAGGGCTTCTGGCATAAGACTTCCTTTTGCATCAGCAACAACGGAGACGGGCCCTTTGCGTCAGTGAGAGATTCAGTTCCAAATGTCCTAGTCACAGAAGGGATGGGTGATAATCAGGAGTGGGAAGGCAGCCGCCTGGCCTGGGCCTTGGCTCTCCCTGGGATGGTGGGACTTTTGACCATTTGCGGTTGTCAGCCGGGCAGCGTCTTCCATGCAGCTTGGTATGAAGGGAGAGGACTGGCTTCCTGGCTCAGAGTCTGAACAGCTGTGGGATTCTAAGCTGTTTCCTGTGATGTGTAATCGAAAGGGTTGTGCTCAGCTGTCTCCAAGGTTCCCTTTGATGTTGACATTCCAGTGTTTGTACCTCCAACCCTCCTACCTCCAGCCTCTCCTAGTTCTCAAAGGCCCTCCTGCAGCCCTCGCCCCGTCTGGGCTGCTCTGATTGAACCAGCAGCTGTGCTTCGAAGCCCAGCCCCGCACCGTGGTCTCTGAGCCGTGGAGCCGAACCAGCGCATTTCCCCACGGCCGCAAATGTCAGTGTGCTCCCCTGTTGGCGTCCAGCTGCCTCCTAGCTGTGGGCAGTTTCTCTGAAATTTACTTCTCATGCATTTCTTGACTTTTTGTCTGGAATAGTCTCCTAATTCGTTCATTAGACACTCGTGGTGTCACTAGAGCTGAGGGTAGATGCCCCTGGGGATGGAATCCGAGAAAAGGCAGCTGAGGCTGGGGAGGAGGAAGCTCATCCTTCTTTCCCCACAGCTTCCTGAGTGTCGTAGGCACCTGGTACGTCACTGCCATCATTATCATCAAATACATCTGGCCAGATAAAGAGATGACCCCAGGGGACATCCTGACCAGGTGGGTAAGGGCCCCTAGGGGACACATGGGGTAGAAGCTGCCACTTGGGCCCAGGCTGTGCTGGGTCAGGCATCAAAAGCCCACACAAGGGGCCGGCCCCGTGGCTTGGCGGTTAAGTGCGTGTGCTCCGCTGCTGGTGGCCTGGGTTCGGATCCTGGGCACACACCGACGCACCGCTTCTCCGGCCATGCTGAGGCCGCGTCCCACATACGGCAACTAGAAGGATGTGCAGCTATGACATACAACTATCTACTGGGGCTTTGGAGGAAAAAAGGAGGAGGATTGGCAATAGATGTTAGCTCAGAGCCGGTCTTCCTCAGCAAAAAGAGGAGGATTAGCATGGATGTTAGCTCAGGGCTGATCTTCCTCACAAAAAAAAATAAAAATAAAACAGATGAGCCAATGTGAGGTTGGCCTCAGGTTGTGGAGACTGCCAGGGTGGAATTGCACGTTTCTCCAACTTGTACTTACCTGTAATTTCCGTATCTTCTTTATGAGGATGAATTTGTTTTGCTATTTAAAAAAAAAAAGTTTCCTTATTTTGAAAGGAACAAACCAGAAAAGCAAAAGCCCCACTGCAGGAGCCAGGGATTCTGGATTTGGGTCCCAGGAGGGCCTTCCAGAGCCTCACTTTTCTGACCTGTGAAATGGAGATGTGTCCTCTCCCCACCCCCAGACTTATGTGGGTTGAGTGTTCTACACTGGTCTATGCTTGTCGATGGAGGCCATGGTGAATAAAGAGAAGGGGTAAGGGGGTGGTTGGTGGCTCTGAGGGCTTCACAGGCAGCAGATCCTTGTGTTTGTCCACAGGCCAGCTTCCTGGATAGCCGTGTTCAACGCCATGCCCACCATCTGCTTTGGATTTCAGGTGCCACCTGCATCCCCGTAGCTCACTCCCCATCCTGGGATGACATCCACATTGCAGGCAGGATGGAGGGATCCTGGAAGGAAGGACAGAGTGGGGCCCCCAGGATGTGCCCCTTGTCCCTGGAAACTGGGGGTGAGGTCAGTTCCCCACCATAACCCTGCCTTCACCCTGACAGTGCCACGTGAGCAGTGTGCCCGTCTTCAACAGCATGCGGCGGCCCGAGGTGAGGACCTGGGGCGGAGTGGTGACGGCTGCCATGGTCATAGCCCTCGCTGTCTACATGGGCACGGGTGAGTGCTCCCCTCCGAGGGCTGGGCTTGGAGTGCTCCCACTTTCCCTCTTTGTCCCCAAGTCCTCTGGCCCAGCTTTCCTGGGGACAGCCCTGCACTCCTAGCACGTGAAACACTCTGTGGGTGTTGGCTTGAACTTGGGCTGCCTTGGGCCTCCTCCTGCCCACAGGAGAGAGATGTCCTCATCCATTGATTCAGCTGCTCTCAGTTGGTGCCTAGAAAATGCCAGGAACTGTTGTCAGCATAGGGGGTGCTGTGGACAGACCTGGTCCTACCCTCACGGAATTCACGGGCTAGTCAGAGAGAGTCTTACAAGAGTAAGTCAGGATCAGTAAGGAATTCCAGACAGTTGTGCGTGCCACGGTGACAGTGAAACAGGGGAGATGTGAGTGGGACTGGGAAGGGGTGCCTTTGGGGGCTGGTTCACAGAAGGCTCCTCTCTGAGGAGGTGGCATATGGGAAGGAGCTAGAATCTGAAGAACTGAAGGAAGAGCGTTCCAGACAGAGGAAGCAGAAAATGCCAAGTCCCTGAGGCAGGGACAGAAGGGTCTGTGTAGCTGGAGTGGAGAGAGTCGGGGCGGGTGACAGGCAGTGAGGCCAGACAGGGAACGGGGCCAGATCCTGTTGGGCCTTGAGGACTGTTGGGAGCCAGCGGGGAAGCGTTTTAAGCAGGGCGTGGCTCTGCGGAAGATGGCCGTGGGTGCTGTGTAGAAGATGGTTTGGGTGAGGGAGCAGGCCTGGGAGACCAGGAAGAATGGCCCTGTGATTCCATCCATAGAGGGTTCTCGGGACCAGCACTGTTCTACCTCTGAAGACGCAGCCAGGAACAAGAGAGGCAAATAGGCAGAACTCCTGTTCTCGGGGGGCTCGTCTTCTGGTTGGGGAGATAGATAATAAACAAGTTTAAAAAACAATCAGAGAGAGAGGAGAGCTGTGAAGGAAATAGGATGGGGTGATGGGAGAGGATGCTTGGGTGGGGGTTGTTGTGGCGGGCTGGGCGGGGAAGCGTTCTCTGGGGAGAGGACATCTGAGCTGAGGCCTGAGGCCTGGATGATGAGATGGCAGCGTGGAGAGCTGGGCAGGCGGAACGTTAATGCAGAAGCTCTGAGACAGGAACATGCTGGGCGAGTTCGAGATCAGAAAGGTGGCAGTGTGGGGGCGGGGGATGTGAGAAATTAGGGAGGGAGGCTTCTGATCCCAGCCCCCGCACCCTCCTAGCCTCAGTCTGAGCCTCCATAGCTGCTCCAATGCTCTTCCCGTCTGATGTCGCACCTGGGAGTGGACGGTCCCTCCCCTGACCCTCCCAGGCTTGCCCCGACCCAGCCCCCTTGTCCCTGCCCTCAGGCATCTGTGGCTTCCTGACCTTTGGAGCTGCTGTGGACCCGGACGTGCTCCTGTCCTACCCCTCGGAGGACATGGCTGTGGCCGTCGCCCGCGCCTTCATCATCCTGAGCGTGCTCACCTCCTACCCCATCCTGCACTTCTGTGGGCGGTGAGCCCCCTCCCCACCCTGCTGGGGCGCTCCCTCCCTCTCCCCAGGGCCCTGTGAACATGGTCCTTTGGCCTTGTGTGGAACTCATTTTGTAGAAGAAAAACTGAAGCCCGTGGGAAAGAGTCAGTGCCTAGGATGGCCCCTCAAGTACCCCCAGCTGGGTCCTGGGCACCCCTTTTGTCCCAAGGTCCCCAGAACATTCTGTGTGTCCTCTAAGAACCTCTAGCCCAGATCTTTTCCTGAACACCCAGCCTTCTTGGTACCCCAGGCCCTTCCTTTTCAGGAGAATAATAGTATCAGTTCCCACGGGGTGAACACCTCCTGGGCCAGGCAAGGCGCTGAGCCCTTCACATTCCCCATCTCCTCAGTCCCCATGGCAAGCCTAGAAGAGTGCTGCTGGGCCCATTTGACAGAAGAGGAAACAGGCTCAGGGACTGGGGCCTTGCCCTCAATCTACCCAGTCGAGGGCCTGGCTCCGTGAGCTGGAGGTGGGGGGCCCCGAGCAGGGGCGCCGCTGACCCCCTCTCCACACGGGCAGGGCGGTGGTCGAAGGCCTGTGGCTGCGCTACCAGGGGACGCCGGTGGAGGAGGACGTGGGGCGGGAGCGGCGGCGGCGGGTGCTGCAGACGCTCGTCTGGTTCCTGCTCACGCTGCTGCTGGCGCTCTTCATCCCCGACATCGGCAAGGTCATCTCCGTCATCGGAGGCCTGGCCGCCTGCTTCATCTTCGTCTTCCCAGGTGTGGCCCCCTGGCGCCCCGCAGCCCTGACTCCCAGGGCCCCCCAGCCTCAGCCCCTCACTTGCTCACCTCCCGGGGAGAGTGACAACCAGGATTTAGTGATCACCCACCTCAGGCTCTGTGCCAACCCCTGTCCAAGCATCGCCTCCTGAAAAGAAGGCGTGGTCATGTTCTCCATTTTACTGACGAGGAGACATGAGGTTCCGAGAGGGTGACAGACTTGCCTAGAGGTTAACAAACTCAGCTAATGAGTAACAGAACCTTTTCAAACCCTAGTCAGTCTAGGGCCACAGCCCATACTCTTAACCCTTCACTCAAGTGTCTGACTTCCTGACTATCAGGGATCTGGCTGGTTCAGTCCCCAGAGGGCAATGGGGCCCGGTGGCAGAAGCCGGGAGACCTTAGTTTCGGACACGGTGTGCCACTAGATCCCTGGGAAATTGTCCCATCTGCCCAGTCAGGAGTCCTGCCTATACCCAGCTTATTTCTATCCAGGAGGCCACCTTGCAGCCTTTGCCACTTTGCTTGGAGTAAGGGGGCCCCATCTGCTCAGAAGTGTGCTGGGAAGGGCCCTGCTTCCAGCGCTGCCCCGTTAGCTCTGAGTCTTGCATGCAGCCCAGGGGGGCCTGTCAGATGCTGGCCTCTCCTGGGAGAGCACAGGCCAGGCCTCCAGCCGGGGGTGGAGTGGGGGGCAGAGATGGAATATCTGGAAGGGCACACATAGCCCTTTCTCTGTCCACCACTACTGCCTCTTGGTAAGGGAGGAGGCCAGGGTGAGGGAGGGAGTCCACACAAGGTCTCAGGGCCACCTCTTCTCCTCCAGGGCTGTGCCTCATTCAAGCCAAACTCTCTGAGATGGAGGAAGTCAAGCCAGTCAGGTAAAGCAGGGCCCAGCCCATGGTCTTCTCGGGGAGGTGCTGGATGCGGGGGGGTCTTAAAATAGGTAGAGGCTAGGAGCTACCCTCAGCCTCCAGTAAGGCTATGGATTAATTCCCCTGCCTGGCCGCAGCAGAGGAGCCCTCCACACCCAGTCCTGGCCTTGCTCTGGGGGTGATCATCTCTGCCTGCCTCTCAGCTTGAGCGTTGCTAGGTTACACAGCTTCCGGGAGACTTGTATACTTCGAAAAACATGAGTTTCAAAATAGTTTTTTTAAGGGGCCAGCCCAGTGGCGCAAGCGGTTAAGTGCGCGCGCTCCACTGTGGCGGTCCGGGGTTCGCTGGTTCGGATCCCGGGCGCGCACCGACACACTGCTTGGCAAGCCATGCTGTGGCGGCGTCCCATATAAAGTGGAGGAAGATGGGCACAGATGTTAGCCCAGGGCCAATCTTCCTCAGCAAAAAAAGAGGAGGATTGGCGGATGTTAGCACAGGGCTGATCTCCTCACAGAAAAAAAAAAATACTTTTTTTAAATGGGTAACACGTGCTAGTTGTAACAGTTTAGACACTACTGAAGGACTTCAGAGAAAAAAGTGGAAGTTCCTCTTCCTCCACAGCCCGCGCCCCCACCACATCCCTTCTCTTGAGAGAGCTCCATGTCATCAGCATGGTCTGTGCCCTTCTAGACTGTTTCTGTGCGTGCACAAATGTCTGTGTACACATAGCTATGCATATAGCTGCCGTGCCAGACACCCTTTTCTGGTACTTGGTTTTTTCACTTAACCATGTATCTTGGAGATCACTCTATGTCAGCACAAGAAGATCCACTTCTTCCTTCTTTTTTTTTTTTGCTGAGTAAGATTCACCCTGAGCTAACATCCATTGCCAATCCTCCTCTTTTTGCTTGAGGAAGCTTGGCCCTGAGCTAACATCTGTGCCCATCTTCCTCTATTTTGTATGTGGGAGACCGCCACAGCATGGCCACCAACAAGTGGTGTGGGTCCACGCCTGGGAACCAAACCCAGGCTGCTGAAGTGGAGCGTCCCAAACTTAACCACTAGGCCATGAGGCCAGCCCTCACTTCTTCCTTTTTTAATGGCTACAGAATATTCTGTTGTATGAATGTGTCCTGAATGTGAACACTCTTATACATATACATCTTGGCACACCTGTTTCAGGATCTTGGTAAGATCGATTCTTAGAGAGAAGTTGCTAGGTCACAGGGCATGCCCATTTTAACTTTGGCACAGGAGTTCAAATTACCCTTCAGAACGACAGTACCCGTCAGAGTCCCAGCAGCAGTGAATGAGCGTGCCCTGCCAGCATAGTCTATAATAGCCTTTTAAAATTTTGTTAGTCTGATGGATGCAAAACACTACATTGTTTTACTATGTACATGTCCCTAAATAGTAGAGAGGTTGAGAACAGGTTGCATGCTTTTAAAAAAAATTATTGTGCAAGCAATACTCATTCATTATAAAAAATGTGAAAAATACACACAAGTCTAAAGAAGAAAATAAAAATCACCCTAAACCTCAATACCCAGTTATAACTCTATTGCTATTTTTTTTTTTTGTGGTGAGGAAGATCAGCCCTGAGCTAACATCCATGCCAATCCTCCTCTTTTTTTTTGCTGAGGAAGACTGGCCCTGGGCTAACATCCGTACCCATCTTCCTCCACTTTATATGGGACGCCGCCACAGCATGGCCTGACAAGCGGTGCCTCGGTGCGCACCCAGGATCCAAACCCGGGCCGCCAGCAGCGGAGCGCTCGCTCTTAACCGCTATGCCACGGGGCCGGCCTGCTGGTGCTATTTTTGGTACATATATTTGCAGGCGTCTGCTTCTTTTTAAATGAAATGGATCACACTCCATGTGACCTGCTTTCTCCTGAACATCTTTCCATCAAGAGGCGTGCATTCTAATCCTGGTGCTGCCCTTGGTGTGCTCTGACCAGTCAGTTAATCCCGTTAGGTCTTGGTCTCCTTACGTGGGACTGGCGATCAGACACCTGACCCCAAATACCTTTGTATGAAAAGTCCTTGAGAAGTAGGAAGTGCCCTACCCCCAGGAGAAGTGGTATAAGTAATTTACGGTAATTAACTGATATATGTATCTGCAGAGTCAGGGATGGATTGACTGACCAAACCCCTCTGCCCTACAGCTGGTGGGCGCTGGTCAGTTACGGAGTCCTCTTGGTCACCCTGGGAGCCTTCATCTTCGGCCAGACCACAGCCAATGCCATCTTTGTGGATCTCTTGGCATAACCACTGCCTCCCAGGGAACACGTGGCCTTTGCCACTGGACCCAGGATCCCATCTCTTAGAGCTGCGGGGCCACCCTGAGTCTGGCATCCTTCCCCCCTACTGGTGGGATGACACCTGGACATCCTTTTACAGGGACAGTTGTGGCGTGAAATCAGGCCCCACACCTCTGGGCAGCTCAAACCCAGCTCTCTTGCTGCCTCCCCCATCCTGGCAGTGCCGTGGATGGTGGGAGGAGGTCTCGTGTTGCAGAGGAACCTTCCCCTTTCCTCCAACTCTCGAATTCTCCGTGCCTGGAACCCATGGATGAAGAGGGCCAGAAGGTCTCAGAGGAAAGAACCCAGCCTGACTTCCCTCTGGAGAAAGTCTGGACAAAGGGCCGTCCTCCACAGAGCAGCCTGTCCTGAGTAGGGGCTGTGCTCACTACCCCCAGACACAGTGCCTGCTCCAGTCTCTCGGCAGCCCAGCCAGGGGTGACTTCCTCTAGGATCTGGCAGTTTTCAAAGGTGACACTGAAATCAGACCAATGCGCAGAGGCAGATAGAGTCATGCTTGTCCACTCCCTCCTGGCCCACAGTGAGCCTGATAGCCCTCTCTCCCCAGCTAATTGACACTCCCAAGCCTTTGGCGCCTCACCCTATCTCTTTCCCCAAACCTGAGAGTCCAGGCGTCCCTCTCCTCCTCCATGCCCAGACATCACCACGTCTAATGTTTACAAACGGTGCCAGCCCGGCCTTGAACCAGGGCCCAGGGGCCATCCCGTGCCACCGCGGTGCTGTGAGTACACCTCCGTTAGCTTTCCCAAGAGGGGAGTCTGCTTTTCTCTTCCGAGTCCAGATGGGCCCCTCTTTTCTGAGGCACAAGGGTGGGTAATGGAAAAGGCCGAGAACCTTTCAGACCCGTGCAGGCCCGGCTGCTCAGGACCAAGGTGACCCTGTCTGACCTTCACTTTCACCAACTGCCTCTCTTCTCCCTGGCCCCCACTTCCCCCTCCCCTGCCATTTGCGTGCAGTCACGCCAGCCTGGAAGTTTCCCTTCCAATCTGGATCTTGTCTGCTCCTTCCCCGCATCACTTCTTCGCCCCCTACCCCATTTTTCTATGTAGCTCGACCTCTCCTGTTCACGTAAGTGTGGGGGTGGAGGGTTGCCAAACCCTCTCTTGTCAACTTCCTCAGCTCCACACATCCACAGGCCTGGCCTCGGTGGCCTGTCCGTCACACTGAGGTCACACCTAGATTGTGCCCCAGGCAAGGTGAGGGGGACGCTATTCTCCCCCTTCCTATTCCCATTTTGAACACGTTGGCCGCTCACTTTGGTCAACTCCAGGTGCCGAATCAGGCTTCCTCTACCCAGAACACTAGTATTTCTCTGGCCCCTCCTGCCCAAAACCTCAGTACCCGGGGTGAGAGGGACCCCCACCCAGCAGCCCACCATTCAGGGCAGTCAGATCTGAGAAGCAGAGGCTGGAGCGGAGGCCGGAGAGGCTTCTGCTCAGTCCCCAGACTGAGTGACCTGCCTTTCCTCACATCCCCCTCCTGCTCCCTGAGGCCAGACCCACTCTGCTGTTTTCTCAGCCTGCTGCACAGCACCAGGCCGTGCCAGCGCCCACCCTCACAAGGTTAGGAGGACGGCCCGCTCAGTAGAGGCTGCATAGCCTCCTAATGCTGAGTTTCGAGGGTGGGGGGATGTAGGGGGAGTCATTGCACAGAACCGGACCAGTCGGGAAAAGGAGCAGGAGTCCGGCCTTGTGGCCTAACCTCAGGAGCCCCCTCCCTGCCAGGGCCTTTTACTGTTTCTTTTCTGTTTGTGCACATTCAGACTAGGGAGGCTGGTTAATAAAAAGAGACTTGTGCTGCTGAGCTGCGTGGCCTGTGTCTGGTGCTGGGGACAGAGTCCAGGCCACTGACAGGAGGAATATGATCTGGGGTGGAAATGGATGGGAAGGAAGGCCTTTGGGCTTTATCATCTATGACCCCTGACTCAGGAATGGGCACCACCATGCTGCCTCTACCAGGCCAGAAACCTGCAGGTGGTTCTCAACGCCTCCCTTTTCTTCCCCATCCCATCAGCCCTTCCCTGCTGACTTGGGAGTTTGCCTCTGTCTCCTGTCCTGCTGCTTCTGCCGTGGCTCAAGCCCTCACTGTGTCTTCCTGCACCACTGTGGCCTCAGGCTGGCCTCGGTGCTGCATGTCCCTCCCTGACCTCAAATTTTGGAGTGAGCTTCAAACTCCTGAGCATCTGCCCCTTGTCTTTTCCAACGCGTGTGTTAAGCAGGCCCTGGGTGTCCTGATTGTGGAGAGTTACTGTGCCCAGTGCTGGCGAGAAGACACTCAGCAAAACAGACACAAGCTTTGCTCTCAGTTGACTGGGGAAGACCGATGCTACGCAAGAGATCACAAATAATACTCTTGCAAATGGTGATAAGTGCCAAGAAAAGAAAATATAGAATGTTATATTTGGGGGCCTGGAGCTCGTCTGGGGAGTCAAGGAAGGCTTCCTGGAGGAAGTGATATTTGAGCTGGCCCCTGAATGATGACTAGGAATGGACTAAGTGAAGAGAGGTGGGGAGACCTTTCCAGGCCATGGAAACTGCATGTGCAAAGGCCCTGTGGTGGGAGGAAGATGGTTGCTTGAGGAACTGAAAAGTGGCCATTGTAGGTGGAGCACTGCCTGGATGTGGGTGAGAAGAGAGCATTCTGGGATGGTCTTCGATGGTTCCCCCTTGTCCTTAGGGTAAAGTCTAACCTGCTTATCTCCCACCACACTCCCTCTCCCTGCTCCAGTCCTGTGCAAACAAAGATCCCTCCCTCCTGGTGGGGATGGGGACTCCAAAGAGGAAACACTTGAAAGGCTAGAGGGGTGGGCCATGGTTCACACCTGACTAGGGGGCCAAGAGCTTGAGGTTTGGTTTCACTTTCTCTGAGCGAACAGAGGGGACGAAAGGTTACATCTGTGCCAAGGGCAAAGGCACAGCCACATTCATCCATTAGACTCAAGACATCCCTGCTTCTTGCTCAGCACACTTGTAAGCACTTAGTCGATGTCTCTCCCCCATTAGACTCCATGGGAGCAGCGGCATGTCCCTTTGTCCCTCAGGTATCTTAGCCTGGCACATAAGCAAGTGTTCAATAGTTGTTGAACAAATGAATGACTATCAGCCAACATTTGTTGAGTTCTTACCTTGCGCCAGCACTATATTAGCATCATTCTCATGTGGTCTTCACAATGACTCTATGAGGAAGTGAAAGCCAAGAGCGGTTAGTTGGCCCAGGGACGCACAGCTAGTATAATTGGAGCCAGACAGCCCTCTTGCTATGTATGAATGAACAAGTGAGCAGAGGGCTCTCCCAGAGCCAGCCTGGGGATTTTTGACCCCAGGAGGCAAGCTTAGGAACCTGCGACCCCCATGCTGGCGCCAACACCAGATCTTAGAACCCTGAATCATTCTCCTGGCCAATCCGTGTCGAACGATGGGATGCCTGCTGGCTAGTGGCTCTGGGCAAGTCTCTTCACCTCTCTGGGCTTCTGTCTCCCGATCTCTAAAATGGAAACGATAATTACTGACCCTGTTTACCTGCCAGGGTAAAGGCAAGTCAACATAAAGAAAGTACATGAGGGCCGGCCCAGTGGCTTAGTGGTTGGGTGCCCCCGCTCCGCTCCTGGCGGCCCGGGTTCGGATCCTGGGTGCGCACCGACGCACTGCTTCTCTGGCCATGCTGGGGCCGCGTCCCACATGCAGCAACTAGAAGGATGTGCAGCTATGACATCTACTGGGGCTTTGGGGGAAAAATAAATAAATAAATAAAAAATTAAAAAAAAAAAAAAAAAAGAAAGTACATGAGAAATAACGGAAGTGCTTGATAGCTGGAATTCCATGTTTACAGAAGAAATGTGAAAACTCAGCTTCCTCTCAGGAGCACACAGGCTGGGGTTCGCCTACCACTCCCTGGGAGTAAGGGTGCTTCTCAAAGTTCACTGTGCACACAAAATTTTTATCTCCTTAGGATATACATTGTGATTCAATAGGTCCAGGGTGGGGCCTGAGGTCTGCTTTGCTAACGCTCCCAGTGTCGCCCATGCTCTGGTCCTCGGACGACACTTTGAGTAGCAAGGGACTGGTGAACAGAGCAAAGGCTTTGGCCTCAGGCAGACCTTGGTTGTATCTGAGCGATGCTTCTTACAGTGGGAACTCAAGGAATCAGTTCACTTCCCTGAGCACCACTTTCCTCAACTATGAAGTGGAGCGACGGTGCCCACCTTGTAGATCTATATCTAAATCTAAGGACAAAGGGCATAATAATATATGTGAAGTACCTGGCAGATAGCAAGGATTCTGTTGGTCATTTCCCTCTACAAGAAGGATGTAGGGGGAATGTACAACTGCAGTTTCTTCCTTGGGTCAATAGAGGACACCTTTGCTTAATTTCTGTTTATGAAAGCCAGGAGCCTGCAGCCTCAGAGGAGACTCCAGGCCTCTGAGTCACTAGGGCTCCTGGTGATTCGGCTGCTGCTTAGTACTTCTGAGTGATGTCCCTACACGGGGGCAAAGCCACCTCGAGATCATGGCCTCCAGTCTGATGGGGTACTCAGACCAATCAAATAATCACAGAAACTAATTGTGTAGGTACATGTGCTAGATGTAGATTATATATTACAAATCCAGATTTGGTAATAATTCATTACTATGATACAATGAAAAAATTTTCAGTAGGTGTGGAGGAAAGCCAGAGACATTGTAGCCAGGAAGAAGGCAGACACCCTGCCCTCCAAACACTTTGTGTCTCCTGGGAGAGAAGAGAACCAAGATTCATCCATTTGGTCATTCTTCCATTAAAAATGAAATTGGGGGCGGGGGGGCAGCCCAGTGGCACAAGCAGTTAAGTGTGCGTGCTCTGCTGCAGCAGCCTGTGGTTCGCCGGTTTGGATCCCGGGCGTGCACCAACACACCACTTGGTAGGCCATGCTGTGGCGGCATCCCATATAAAGTGGAGGAAGATGGACACTGATGTTAGCCCAGGGCCGGTCTTCCTCAGCAAAAAAAGAGGAGGATTGGCAGATGTTAGCGCAGGGCTGATCTTCTTCACACACAAAAAAATAAATTGGGGGGATGGCCTGGTGGTGTAGTGGTTAGGTTCGCACACTCTGCTTCAGCAGCCCAGAGTTCGCAGGTTTGGATCCCAGGCGCACACCTACACACTGCTTACCAAGCCTTGCTGTGGCAGGCATCCCACATATAAACTAGAGGAAGATGGGCATGGATGTTAGCCCAGGGCCAATCTTCTCAGCAAAAACAGGAGGATTGGCAACAGATGTTAGCTCAGGGCTAATCTTCCTCACCAAAAAAAAAGAAATTGATATATTTCCAGTCTAGAGTGTAAGAAGCGTGGAAATGGCTACTCCATCCTAACAACAAGTAAAAAGCTAAACAAACCAAAAAGTCAAGAACTCTTCCTAGATCTGAAAAATAAGTCAGGTTACGGAGCACACCACAACCCCAAAATTGGAGGGAGTGACAGGCAAACACAGAGCAGAAACCTACAAGCAGTAACCTCTGCAGGAACCGGTGCCAGGGTAGGGAAACCTGAACTGTAGTTGATGAGTTGCTGGAGGCTCAGTGTGGACAAGTCTGAGACATAAAGACACCAGTGGTGCGGGGGGCCACACTTTTGTGCATTTTACCTCCTGGAGCTCCTCCAGGTTCTCTCAGTAAACATCAGAGAACAATCCCCTCGTGCTTCTGGCAGGGGAGGGTAAAAGGAACCATTCTGAAATGTGCTAGAGCATTCTGTTCTTAACAAGATCTTCCCTCCGGAGAAACTTAAAATTTAACCAGAGCCTAACCTGCTGGGGTTTTATCAGAGCCTAACTGACCTAGGGGAAGGGAAATACCCGAATCCAGCCAGCTCTAGTCTTCAGCGTGGAGGAAGGGAAATACTCAACTCCAATCCACTCTAGCCACTTAAAGGG